GTGTGTGTGTGTGTGTGTGTGTGTGTGTGTGTGTGTTCTCACCTTCCTTCCTAAGGCTTCTTGGTACATCTCAGCATTGGCAAAATAGAGGGTGGCAGAGGAGCGAAAGATTAATATTCCTGGCACCCGCTCCACCTAAAATCAGTTAATGAGAAAAAAAAAACATTAAAAAATATTTATGAAATGCTCCATGCTAACGAGGCGGCAGAAGCAAACGAAGCAAACGACCAGTAGATTCCTGAACAGCATGAAACCCGAGGCATGACAAGCAGAAAATATTTAAAAGCTAAAACTTCACAAAATTGATTGAGTTTTTTTGGAATCGGTTCTCTCAGATGCTTTGGTCAGCACTCATCTCATTATACGTCCTCATACGTAGCTATAAAATGTTCACCTCATTCAGGAGGTGTTTAAATCTGATGTGAAGGAAAATAAAAATATTGCCCATGTATTTATAATTTAAAGGTATGTTTTACTTATAAAATATACTACATTTTCATGTTATTCTGAATTGTTTTAACTCGTTGTAAGTTTCCAGCAGGGCACTTTAAATGTGTCATTTCTTGTTCTTTAAGCTTTAACTCCACATACTACTGTGGTTTCTGCACAACTGGATTGCAGAACTATTTGTTTTGTTGCTGCTGGAATATGAACATGTAAGTGACGATGAAATGGGAAGTAAAACCACATTTTCAGATGTTCTTTGTTGAAGAACTGCCGAACAGGATTTTAACCAAAACTAGGAATATTTGCTGCTCAGATAAGAACCACTCCATTCATGTCAAATAAGAACTGGTTTTGGACTGGTTTATACTGGAAGAGTTATAGGTGCTTCATTGGGGCTGTGTCCTCAGACTCAACTTATTGCTGTATGCATGTTGACTCTCATTTTATTGCAATAAAATTAATCAGAGACCATTGTAGTGAAGAACCTTTTGGATCGCATATTTCTGCCATTTTGTTTAACAGATATGGAAAAGTTTTTTTTTTTCCACCACAGTGACGGGGTTTTGTTTAACTTTTGCTTACAAAATTATTGAAATTTGTTTACAAACATTTTCTGCATAAAAACACATTGAAATCTTTTCACTCCTTCAAATTATTGTTCTCTTTGAAATCTGCTTTGTTGAAAAAGAAGTGAGCAAATGTGTCGTCTTTTTGTTACATAGAGATATTTTTCATTTGCTTTGTAAAGCTTTTAGCTATCCTTTTGCTGCTTCAGCCTTTGGTTTTGAAAATTTTAGACAATCTTTGCTACATTTAGCTTTTTCTTCCATTAGATTGGGTTAATGCTTAGGCTTTAGCTGTTTCTAAATTTAACTAGCCTTTTGCTGCTCTAGTTTTTAGCTGTAGTTTTGTTCATTTTAGACTATCTTTTGCTACATTTAACTTTTATTTAACTCGTTGATCCTTTAGGTTAAGCTGATGTCACTATTTGGTTTTAATTAACTAGGATTTTGCTGCTTTTATTTTTTTGGGAGTGTCTTGCAACATATAGCTTTTAGCTAAAAATCTGTCCTTTTAGCTCATTGAAACAGTTTATCTCTAACTATGCTTATTTTCTGTCATGCTGTTGAGTTTTATATACAATACCTGATCGTAATCTTCCATTGGCCTGTAAATATCTGTGTCTCCCACTTGTCCTAATAGGGAGTATTTGGGTCTGAAAAACAAACAAAACAAACTTGTCAATTAAAATCCCAAACCTTGCTCTACCCAAAACAATCCAAACATGGACACGATTACATTTTTTTTCACAAGACAAGAGTGAAAACTATTATATGTTGGCAGCAATTTAGTAGATCTAATGCATAGTGTCGGCCCTTTTGAGTGATTTTACATGTAAGTGCATGTGAGTGTGCGGATCCACCAAGAACGTACAGCTGAGTCCTGAAGATGACCGTGAGCATGGAGAAAGCAATGGAAGCAGCTAATCCCAGGTCAGGGTTCAACAGCAAAGTGAAGATGAAGGTGGCAATCCAGACCAGCTGGAGGCACAGACACGATTAAGAGTCATGAAGCAGACAATAAAGGTTCCTAAAGAATGGACGGATAACTAACTTGTCTTTGCTGTTACATATTTTCCTTGTGAATATTTTGGCACTCTCACCATGTCTATTTTGCTCTTCCTCCACAGAGCAGGGATGTCCAAGAACTGCTTCATCATGCCATGAAGATTAACTAAGATGATGGCAGCCAGCACCGCCTGAAAAATGGATCAAATAGTGAGCAGTTTAAACAACGTGCCAGAGGCTTGAAGCTTCAGACTGAGCTGTACATCTCTACATGTGACAGAGGTGATTTGCCTAAAAAAAGAAAGGGACAATAATGTTGCTTTTAAATAAAAAAAAATAATCATGTGCTTTTTCTTGTTAACAGCAAAGTGTTGACTGTAATCCATAAGATTAGACTTCAATTTAGCTCATTTAGCTTAAATCTGAAGAACATATGGTTAGTTGTGTAATATAACAAAATAACTTCAGCTGTGAGTTTTTTTTTACCAAGCTATAAGATTGCCTTATAACATGACATGCCTTCCTAAAACAGACATTTATGATTGTGAACGCTCATGTGAACATGAGCAGAAACACACACTGAGTACCTTGGGCAGATCTTCAAAGAGCCTTCCAATCCAGAGGGTGATGAAAAGGATAACCACTGCTGATAGAGCCCCAGCAACCTGCAGGGGAGCGAGAGGAAAAACAGTCGCATGATGGATGGATAGACGGACACAGAAAAGACGTCAGAGGCAGACTTTAAAAAACAAAACAGGAAAGAGATTATCGATGGAATCAGTTGTGTTTGGATGGACCACTTAAAGAAGACATATGCTTTTAAATTCTTCTTTTTCACATTTAAATCCTTCAGATGGGGTCTATATAAAGTTGAACTGCAATGCTTTAGTCTGAATTCCTCCTTATTGTAACTCCACAAGCCCCTCTTTCTCCCCTTGAGTCTCAGATCAACTTGTTTTGAGACTGTCTCTTTAGATCCCGCCCCCTTCAACTAAAAATCACTAAAATAGTGGACATTGAATGATACGTCGCCTTTAATATACAATGAACTGCTGTTATTTTTTTTAAACACGATGGTGCTAAAACTTAAAGCGAGGTAACAGCCATTCATACCAACCTGAGTCTTCCCTCCTGTGCTTTCCTGAACCAAGGTGCGAGACATGGAACAGCTGATGGCAAAACACTGGAAAAACCCTCCAACGGAGTTGCTCAAGCCTAGAGCGATCAGTTCCTGAACCACAAAACACACAAAACTCTCACACAGCTGCTCACGCTGGAACGTTCTGCTGTATAACCCAATTTGTCTCTTCCCTTACCTGGTTGCTGTCCACCTTGTAGCCATATTTGAGCGCGAAGATTCGTCCCAGAGAGATGGCAATGCCATAACCAACCACAGCCAGAGCGAAGGCGTCCCCAATCACCTGTCCGAACAGAGACATGGCCGGGACAACAGGAGGCTGGAGACTGGAAACCGAAGGGACGAGCACAAAACCTGTTACAAACGTTAGTTACATGTGAGACGCGGGTTGATGTTTGTGCGTTTTTCTCACCCCGAGGGAATAGTCCCCACTATTTCCACTTTATATTTCCCCTCTAAGTCAACCTGCCACGAGATTATTGTAGCTATAATGACCTGGAAAAAATACATAATTGTCAGATTGTAGTATTCACTTATGTGCGCACATGCTTTGAATGCTCTTGTGTACTCACAGTGAACAACTCCATAGGTATAGGAACAGGTATTTTTTTACCCAAGAATGCATTCAGCTCCTTAGCCAGCACAAGACCAACTATGGTGACAATACTGACCACTAAAGTGCCAATATTTGTTTTAGGGAGGAGATAACACACCTCCAGGACAGTCTGAGAAGGAAAACAGATAGAAACTTCTTAGGAAGTTTGGTTTTATTTAATCACATAAATAATGACTCAACCCTGTTTATTTATTTTTGCTTATGATGCAATTTATCCTCTAATAATAATAAAAAAGAACAATCATTATTGGAATCTGTGTGATGCTGATTGAAAGTTCAGAACCAAACAAATGCTGATGATTTTGCTTACATAAATCATGGAGAGAGGTCCGCTGTATCTGAGCGGGTTGATACCGAAGACGTATTTGAGCTGGGAGACGATGACGTGGATGGCAGCTCCTGTGGTGTAGCCTCTGACCAGCGGCTCAGACAGGTAGGTCACCACGAAACCAAACTGGACCAGACCGAGCAGAATCTGCACAAGTGATGGGAAACATGGCGATTAGTCAGCAGTAAACTGAAGGTTCATAATCACGTCTTGGACTTTAAAGAACCACAGGTTTTATTGATCATGATAATACAGGAGACAAGCTTTAAAATTCTTCTTTTACACATTTAAATCCTTCAGTTGGGGTCTATATAAAGTGGAACAGCAATTCTTTGGCCTGAACCTCCACAAGCCCCTCTTTCACCCCATATCTGAGGTGTGTCTCAGATCAACTCGTTTCGATGCTGTCTCTTTAAATCCAAACGAAGCACTTCAAACCCCGCCCCCGGCTAGCTTCCAGAACCGTCTATTCTAGTTTAATAGAGAGGTTTACGACTATAGCAGCGCAGAAACTTTTTATTTACAAATTAATTAAAGGATGTCAACAAGAAAATACTTTTTCATCCAGCCTTACATGCTGGAGCCAGAGTCTGGCTCAGACCCAGAGGAGAAAGAAGACCAACAAACACTGTGACATAATAGTTCAGTCACAAAGTTTTTATTTCTATACAGTATAACTGAAAATATATATTCAGCACACTTTAGCTTTCTTCAATGAGTTCGTTATAACCTTTAAACCATTTGTAGGTCACTTTAGAAATGTTTCCTTCACAAATGATTGTCTGAAAAAGCCAATTTATCAATGGTGATTTGTGATCTAAAACAACAAGACTGTCATGATTTCAGTTCTGTCCTGAGTGTGCTCACTCTCCCTCCCTCTCCTGCTGATTGAGATCATCTGATGCCTTCGTATCAGCCTTCAAGCCCTGCTAAATGTTCCAAGAGTTCATATGTTTTTTTTTTTTACCCTGTCTGCCTCGGATCACTGCTATTGTCTTGACCTTTCTGGTTTTTGACTTCCTGTTGCTCAACCTTGTCTGACTCTGACTTTTATTCTAGATTTTCATCACCTAAGACCCTCCTGTGCATGACCCTGCACTGTTTTTGGACAATGAATTATTGGACTGTGGATGCAATAACAGCTGCTTTCAGTAAACATCTCTGAGACCCTCTAGGCCACTCATTCACAACTTACTCAACCCTGCATAAGCTGGATTCTTGGACCCGGTGAATCCTCACTTCCTGGTAAATCTTTTCCCTGGTTCTCATCCAGTCACAACCCTCATCTCTGTTTTTGTGTTCCACACCCACCACTGCAACCAGATCCAAGCAGAACCGCTTCAACGTCATCTCCTTGTGTTTTCTAATAAATCTTTTGGAAACTTCTTCCTTGTCTTGGCTGAGTGTTGGGTCCTGGCTCTTTTATTGAAATGTTACAAACCTTTTAACCTGAACTGCTAAAGAAACTAGAGTTTCCCAAGTTAACATGTTTATCGATATTAGTAAAGAAATCAAGAACTTCAAAAACAGTTTGTTTCAGTCTTGGTCTAAATCAACTGTCTCATCAAAATTGTATGGAAGCACATCAAAACTTGGATAGAAAATGATGCCTTTATGTTTACAAAATGTTAAGGATTTCTAGAATAAATTATAAACATATCATTCCTTGAATTGCATATCTCCGTTCAAAAGTTTTACAAGATTCTTGTTAAACTTTACCTGAAACAATCCAGATACAAAAGTGACAAGCGCCGCCACTCGGACCCTTTCTTCATCCCGACTAATGATGTCTACGATGCTGGAGTTGGACACGTTGTCCCAAATCATAAAGTTTGAGTCTGGAGCCAGTCGCTCTGTCACCCCTCCTATCATCACACTCATCACTGCGTATGTTCCTGAATGTGGGGAAACAGTCTTATGAGCATTTGAATAAATAATACCCAGATGTGGGGAAATGGTCAAATCCGTACCGAGTGAGATGTGCTTAGACGTGCCAAAAATGAAGTAGATGAGGACGGGATAGAAGGAGGAGTACAGACCAAAAACTGGAGGAACACCTGCCAGTAAAGCGTAGGCCATGCCTGGAACAAAGATGGGGTAGTTAAGATTGTTCACAATGTTGAAACTTATAGAAGGTAGGTTGACTTTTTTTTTGCGTCAGTATCAGACTAAATCTGAAAGACATCTTCAGTAAATAAATAAAGGAGCCTTTAAGAAAAGAGATGAAAAGATCTTCAGGAACTAAGGAAGAAGTAGTGATGTGCAGATCGATACTGAAATATCGGTACTACCAATACTAGAACTTTATGCTCTAGAATTTATACTAAAATCAAAATATTGATGATTTAATACTTCAGTTATTTCACATAATGCATATTATTGACAGGAAAATAGTGGAAAATAACTAAACTGTTCCAATCTTGTCTTAGTTGGAGGGAACTACTTTTTCTTCCACTTGGGTAGTGCATTAGAACAGCGGCACGTGCTCAGTCAGTCACTCAGTCTGTAGTTGTATGGCAGGCCATTTTAACATAAAATCTGCTTCATCTGAATGTTTCTAGATTCTCTATGAGGGGTTCCCAAACTTTTCATGCCATGGCCCACCAAACAGCATTAGTTCTGGCCAGGGGCCTTCTTGCCCACAAACAAATGCCACAAAATATACAAAGTAACAACTTTTAAAATGTTTTTTCTCACTTTTATTCACTATTCAAAATATTATGTTAAATTTTTTTAGAATAAGAATTTTAAATTGTGCTAACCAAATAGGGTTAGGATTAGATTAGAAAGTCTTCTAAATTAATAAATACGTTACTATGCCATGTATTATTTATAAAGCGGTTGTTTGAAAAATGCTGCTTTTTAAGGTTTACCAGACGCATTTTCTGTTATCACAAAGTATCAGTATCAGATCAGTATCACCGATACCAGACAAATTTTACTTGTTATCAGTATCAGAAAGCAAATTGGCAGTATCGAACATCACTAGAAAGAAGGTCCAGTGACTTCATTCAACGTTTGTTCTTTTAAATACATATATGTTTATAAAGAGTAATAACTTAATAACTTTAACTTTAATAACTTTATATAGAAACGAATCATTTATGAGGACATTCCTCCTCACCTTGTGGCAGCTGCATGACCCCCACACTGATTCCCGAGATCAGGTCGCCAAGCGCGTCCTCTTTGAAGGAGTATCGCGGCAGCCAGGACACCACAGGAATGGTTGCCAGCAGACAGTTCTTCACCTTAGAACCAGGAGACCTGAGGAGGTTTTGTGTCAAATAGAAATCAGAATTAAAGACATTTAGATTTTATTAAACAAAACACTTGATCAATCCCACAATTTAATTCAAAACTATATTTTAAACACAGCATCCCACACAAATATCTTTGTGTTGTTTTCCTTTATTTTGATTTTTGTTGCTTCCAACTGTTAAAAACTCTGTGTACTTTACTTTATTCTATTATCACATGCAGACAAAAAGCACATTACGATAATGTATTTTTCTGTGTTTGTGTCTGTCTTTGACCAAAATGTCTCATGAACCACATTTTAAAGTAATGAACAGAATGTAATCATTGGATGTAAATCAACCTGGTTCATGTTGAATGGTCAACTCAGCTAATTGACCTTAAAAACACAATAATGGTTAAATTGTAATTATTTTAAATATAATGAGCTAAATGTTGATGTGGTTTTAGCTGAGATTAAATTCAGGCAAAACCTGTTTGACATCATTTCTGTCTGTTACCATTAGTAACAATGACTCAGCGTACACTGATAAAGAAAGTATAAACATTTTGCTTAATGCTACACAAATTGTCTATTTATTTCATTGGACTTAGTAGCATTAAACTTTTGAACACATTCAATGTACTTAAGTATTTTTTGTCAATTTATTATGATGAATAAAGATCAGAACTTGATGCGTTTATTATTGATTCAAAGAACGAGTTGGAAATGACCGTCACTTTAGACTTGATCAACACATTTTTCACCACATTCTTTTACATTAAACAACATGAAGCTAAATTCTGCTTCGTTCAAGGAATACAAGTTTTATTTTAATACTTTGCTTTGACATAATTTAAAGCTCTATTAGACATGAGATGCCAGGATGTAAATGCTAACAATTAGCTGATAGGTTTTACCTCATTGACTTTGCCATTTTATCACGCAGAGATGGTTTTGAGTCAGACTTTTGTGCAATCTCATCCAGCTCCTCTTCATCCAGGACCTCCCTCTGGACTTTGTAGTTCAGTCGTTTCCTCTCCTCCATGGCTGAAAAGTGCCAGTCATTATTGTACGACATGAAGCCATGACAGAGTATTTCTTTTGTTAAATGTTTGCAATAAGAATTATATTTTGTAAAACCAATTAATTGTATAGTATATGTTAGGTAGAGCTGTGCAAAAATCTTGAGTCACACTTTGTTTCTTTCAAGCTTCAAATGATTTGTTGGTTATAGTGAAGTGTGTTAACCCTTGAGTTAGTTGTCTTGTGGGTCAAAAGTGACCCACTACCATGTTAAGCTGTAGAAAAAAAACCTTAAAGCTATCTTTTTCCAAGTTGAAATTTTATGACTTTTCCTAAAGGTGAAATACAAGTGAGTTATAATTCCAACGTGTGAATTATAAAAGCATTTAAACACCATGAAAAAGTTCAAAGACCCCACACAAACTCTCTAATACACACTCACACACACACAGGTTTGTTTTTATATTCCTGTGGGGACCGTGGGTTGAATTCCATTCATTGCCGGGTCCTTTCTATAGCCTAACCCTGACCATGTACCCTAAAACTAACCTAAACTCATTTCACACTTTGGTCCTAAACCTAATCCCTGACACAAAATTAGCATTGGCACCCGTGGGGATCGGGCATTGATCCCCAGGATGCACATTTGGTCCCCACAAGGCCGCCTTTTTCTGGAAAATAGTTGCCAATGGCCATACGGTGGCTCAGTTGGTTGAGCTAATCTCAGCAAGAAGGTTGCTGGATTAAACCCCAGCCCAGGGACCTATCCCGGTAGAGTTTGCATGTTCTCTCCGTGCATGAGTGGGTTTTCTCCGGGCACTCCCGCTTCCTCCCACAGACCAAAAACATGTCTGTTAGGTTAATTGGTAACTCTAATTTATCTCCAGGTGTGAGTGAGAGAGTGAATGATTGTCGGTCTCATTTGTCTCTACGTGGCCCTGTGATGGACCTGCGACCTGTCCAGGGTGTACCCCGCCCCTTACAGTGACGGCCGAGAAGAGGAAATCCCTCAAGCTGGCAGAGAGACATTTTTGCCAAAGAAGGGCAAAATTGCATGGTCCTCATCAAATTTAGGGAAGAACAGCAGCGTCAAACATCATAAGGATGACTTCAGGGCCAACAAGCTATTTGGCTGCCCAGGTCCAGATGCTTGCCATTGAAAAAAATCATCCTGCAGAAAACAAATTTGTAGGGTTTTCGGAAATATGGAGAAAACTGAGAACATGTGGATGAGGACTGAGTGGCTACGTCTTTTGATATTAGCAGGTGTATATAAGTCCAGTGGCAAGGCTAAATATAGTCTCTGGGTTGCTGGGAGTGGAAGGGCAATTACGAGTCCAGACCAGCAAGGTATGACAGACAAACTGGCAGCCATCAGAGAGTGATTGACTTTTTGTGTTGTGTAACAATAATAAAAGATAAAAAAATTAAATAAATTGAGTTGAATTGATAAAGAACGTTTCATCATGCAAAAATACTTTTTGGATTTAAAATTAAATTAAACTGCTTTATTTTGGGTTTTTAGTAGGGCAGGTCGTTTTTGACCTGTAGGACAAGGGGAGTAAACAGAATGTTAGCACACGGGTTAAAAATACAAAACTCTAAAAATGATCAGATTCAAAAAGTTTAAACATAAATGGGGAAAAGTAAATTATAAGCCGTTAGAAAAAATACCGCAGAAAAATATAAATGAACAGAAATTTTGCAGTTTTAAGACAATACTTCAAACAGAAACAACATTTAAATATTTTTACATTATTGAAACTAGTTACCTTGCTTTGTTTTCAGTAAAAATGATCAGATTCTAAACTCCAGATTCCCAGCTTGAAATAAACTCCGGATTCTCCTGAAGTGCTGAGAACACTTCAAGTTTGTTGTCTCATAAGATGTTGTCTTCTAATCCAAAGGAAGGACATCCAACTCCAAAACTCAACAAAACCTGAATAAATAAAAGTTATCTTCCACCTTTTTTCACATGTCATAAGATCGGACTTCCCTCTGTGGGATGAATAAATCCTGTATGTGAGTGGTGGTGGCTGCTGGATGTCAACTTCAAAACTCCACAGATTTTTCCGTTAAAAAGCTTCAAGTAGAAAATGATCACTATCAGCTGCAGCCAAAAAATAAAAAGTTAATGTTTATTTGAGAAGATTTCTATGACCACCAGACAACAATAAAATAAAATAAAATAAAAAAACCTCCTACAAATATTTTTTCTCCTCACTTCCCGACATGTCCGAGTTGTTCCTGTCTGTCGTGGCTCCTCTTGAGACGTCAGTCCTTGTGGAGGAACTCCCAATATGACACCGAACATTGCTAAAGAGGGATGGAGCAAAGTTCTTTGTGATCACAGAACAAGCAGGAACATATGAGGTAGCGCACATCCAGTTTTATCATTTACAGAATAGGCTGTGCTATTTATTAATCATGGCTTTTTTTTGTTTTCTGTTAATTATATTTTTCCACAAAGATCAACAATATGTCAAAGTAAAACAGAATAACTATTAGTTTCAAGACACAATTGGGACTTTCAGGACATCTATTATTTCTTTAACTCTAAAGTCATACATGTCTTTTTGATAAGTTTTATATCTTTAAGTGTATTTGTTTGAGATAAGATTAACTTGTCCTTTCAGCTTAGTCATGACGGTCCTTGTGACTTTATTATTACATGACAGAAGGGTATAAAACATTGAAAATACTTTATATTACTTGATAAAACAGAAATATGATTTGTTTACTAAAGTCTGAAGTCATACTCAATTATGAACTAAGTATTTTCCTCAGATTTAATGTGATAGACCAAGAAAAATTAGCTCATAATTATGAAGCTGGTTTTGAATTTCTTTTACTTTTACAAAAAAAAAAAAAAAGAAACTGGTAAGTAGAAATACCTTTTGTTGCAAAATTTATAGCTATCTCCTCACCCTTTCCATTCTTTGCAAAGGAGCTCAAACTCAATAGATTTTGTGGAGTGTGTGTAGATAATCAATCAGTAGCTCTGGTTGTGTTTCGGGTCATATTGTGTGTTTATCATCCCACAGCATTATGTTGCCACCACCATGTTTCACAGTGGGAATAGTGTGATCTACTGTGTTATACACTGTGATTTGCATTAGAGCTAAACAGTTCAGCTTTGGTCTAATCTGAGCAGAGGATAAAATAAATTACAAATAAGACTTCTTATGACTTTCTTTTAACAATGGCTTTCTTCTTGTCACTCTTTCACAAAGACCGGATTTATTGAAAACACAACTTAAACTTCTGAGGGCTTCACAGACGAGCTCATTTTTACTGGGATCAAATTATCCACAGGTGAACTCTGTTTACTAATTATGGGACCTCTGAACACCACTGGTGTTTTAGTTTGTTGTGTCAGAGTAATGGGGCTCAACAC